CACACGTGAAGCTTTGCAAAGTGACACGAGGTTCTGTTCTGGTTATCGGTTCAGAGCCAGGTTTTCTCCCATTTTTGTTGTGTATGCTTTCACTATCGCTGCGCTCTATTCCTTTCCCTACGCACGAGGACATGTTCTTGATACACCACCACATCCGGGTATACTTAAAGCCTATGAAACCCCTTTCTAGTTTGACATCTTCTATAAAAAGACCTCGATCATTCCATCAGTGCGTTCACAATAATTTACTTTATGTTGTATGTTGGGTTCACCATGTATAAGCTGTACAGATATGTAGGAAATACTGGTAGTGCAGAGTATTTACACTTCCCAGTTACGCAAGGACCATCGATGACCACCGTACGATTTCACGAGGACCTCGGCGGGATTGCGCCGTAGTGCGCCCCGGGATTTAATTGTCTTGGGGTGATCACCTGAGCCAAAGAGACTCGGTCAATAAAGGCATCGAAGCATGGGCTTATGGTTATCCTCTATCATAGCGGCTCAACTGATATATATTGTCAAAGTTGATAAGCCAAAAGAGTGTCACTCTCAACACAGCAACAAAATCGATAATAAGTTTCAATGAACTGATCTTTTCTGTTGGAGTTCTCATCGGCATTGAGATCTGTTTCCTGCGATACCTCTTCCTTCTCTCAACAGCAGCATCTATTACCTGATCAATTGGTCATTTTTCAAGATCAGGACCGACACGACGATTTCAATGCAACTGGAACACCCTAAGCAGGAGACAATTGTGATGTGGCCTTGAATGATTGTGTTATACCAGATGAAATACAATTCCCTGGTGTTTGTAGACGGTCTATTAACGGAAGATCAAAGAAAGAAGGATGATGAACATGAATTTTGGTATCGTTTGTTCCAACGACCAACAGGATAGTCACTAACTAAACTCGTTTGAAAATCCCCAGGCAGGAGGGAGCAAACTTGTCGAAGGTGATGAGATTATGTGTATAGGTTCTGCAAGATGGAATAAATAAATGTCCATGGGAAGAGTATGGGGCAACAATGATGTATTGATATTAGTAAGGCAATAAATGGGTTTGAAAATTGATCATCTACCGCTGATGTCAGCGATAGATCTGTCAACAGATTCACAGGGCTTGCCATCGTTGTATCTCTGGGAAAAATTGTTTAGGCCGGAAGAGGTGAACTTCCTGAGTTGCTGGCTGGAGTGCAAAGAGTGGAAAATCGCTGACTTGTGCCAGTTCGATGCCAGCAGTTATTGAGGACGAGTAACAATCACAACCTGTGGTAGACAAGAATGAATAACGTTGAATATGATAAGGATGTGAAGGTTTGTACGAAGGCCAGTGGGCGACGCACGCTTTCTTGATGCGGGAGATGTTGTCCCTTCCAAGAGGGAAATTATTGTGAGGCATATTGCCAGACTGTTTCCAGCTAATGTAAAATATGGATTACAGCTAAATGGCTTTTGTTGAGCCAAAATTCAAAACGAAACGACGCAAGGTAAAGAAGAAGACTAGGGCGATGTAGGCGTAACAGCGAATGATGGTATTACGATGACAATATCACAAAACCGTGTTGAACGTGAGTACATAACTCGTAGGCATTTTGGAGTATGAAGCCGAAAGCTTCGCAACTGTTTCGAGGCTTCACTGGGGATAGCTGGGAAGTGTGCACGTGCAGGATGGATGGAGTGTGTACGCAGCGGATGGTTTTACTGGCGAGTTGCTGGTGGAGGTCCTCTAGGAAGGTTATCGATAAACTTACAAGAAAGAATCTGTCCGGAAAAAATGGAAGTAGTGGAGGGATTGGGATGAGTGCGTGATTGGGGCGGTGGCACGTTCTAGCTGTCACGGAGGAGGGGAAATTGAATGGAGCACGGGCACAGGGAGGTAGGCTACGGATAACGTTGACAGAACCGTGCGAGGTTATTGTGGTAGAGGACCAAAAGTCAGAAGGGACGTCAGAGGCTACAACACGCCCCATCCTGCGCACGCGCCTCTCTCAATCACTCAACACAGTGTTCGAATACGCGCTTGCGGAATTTTCCTCGCACTTAACCGCGAGCCCAGTCGATACTCTGCAGGTTGAAGTGGTAAGTTGCGTTGCGGTGGAGTCTTTTTACCGTGGCACCATGAGACTTGGATTGGTGTAAACCTCAAGTAGAGTGTGACAGAACAATTATGACTACTAGAGCTAGTTAAGAGAGTGGAGAGAGTTTCAGGAAAATGTTTGAGTCCGAGAGCCGGAGGGCGCTACCCTAGGGTAGACTGATTTTTCATAGTTGGCCCCTTTTCAGAATTGAGCCTCCCTTCTGGGAGGCTCAATTCTGCCTTCTGGGAGGCTCAATTCTGAAAAGTGGCCAACAACTCAGTGGGTAATTTACTGTACGAGCCGACGTGGTGCCTTCTCAGCTCGAATTACAGCTGTACTGTATTCCAACTGTCATGTTTTACTTACAGTCGGACAGCTGGAGGGCTCATTTGCAGTGGCAGATTGTACGCCGTTGACAACACGCAACTTCGGTTTGCCTTTTCGCGCCATCCTTTCCACCCGTCTTCTCACTGTGGATCACCTCAACTTTTTAAACACACACCGTTCCCCCCTGCCTCCCTTTCGCCCCGACCACACTTTCGTCGCGTCGTTCCGCGCGTCCGTCGCGCCCTGCGCGTTGCGCTGCGCAGCGGTCGTGCCGCACACCCGCACATCCGCGTTTCCCGCTCCCCCCCCCCCAGGA